GGTTGTTTGTCAGAGCTGTGTGGTGAGTGGGTTTGTGTGGGTTGTGTGTCAGAGCTGTGTAGTGAGTGGGTTTGTGTGGGTTGTGTGTCAGAGCTGTGTGGTGAGTATTTGTGTGGGTTGTGTGTCAGAGCTGTGTGGTGAGTGGGTTTGTGTGGGTTGTGTGTCAGAGCTGTGTGGTGAGTGTTTGTGTGGGTTGTGTGTCACAGCTTGTGTGGTGACAGAGTTCATGAATGACTGAAGAAGGAGACAGGCACTACCTTTTGTGCCCTTGTAAAAGCTTTCTTTACTTGGCTAAGAGGTTTTTCTCCATGGAAGGTGTATTTTCCTCAAAATAAACCTCAAGTGTGTGTCACTACCAGAATGCCAGTGGATCAAAAGGCCTGTCTTTTTATTCCTACTCTTCCCACAAAATGAAAAAAGTTCCTTTGTTACCTAAAATATCGGAGCCAGAATGTAGTGTTGTCCCCTAGCGCAAGCGCTTATTATTGTGGCTAATTTGGTCACATGTGTTTGAGGCAGAACAATGCCTCAGAAATTTTAAAAAGCAAAACAGCAATCTGAAGCATTTGTTGTAATGAGATGTAAATTGCCAACATCGGGAGTGGAGCCGACTAAAATTTGCAATAAAGCCCCCCCCCCCCCCACGTCTTAAATTAAAAGCACTAGAACCCTCCCTCTGCTCTCCAAGGAAACAACATGGAGCTTTTTGTTGTTGGTGGTTTTTGTTGGATTTTGTCCTTTTCTTTCCTGATTCTGTAATACTGAACACGTGCATTACTGACTGATTCATCCCTCCCCCTACCCCGTTCTCAGCCCATTCATCTGCCATTTTCTGAGCCTCTGTTGTATGCCTGCCTCAGTCCTTGGCTCTTCAGGAGTCATCATCAGCCTGTCTGGTGTCCCTTGGTCACCTCTTTGTAAGTAAGAAAGCTGAGGTTCAGAGATGAAGTGACTTTTCTAAGATCATTTATCTTGGAGTCAAACCCGCATCTGCTGAAAATCACTGTCAGGATGTGCGTTTGGCCAGTTTCTCTAGATGCCGCACTTGCTGAGGCTGTAGCCCTGGCTTGTACTTTCTATATATACAGTGTGCCAGAGAAAGGAGACTGTGGCAGAGAGCTGCCACCAGTGTTGAATGAGTCTGACTCAAGGTGGTAAGAAACGCTGATCCTTGAGAGCAGTACGGTAGCCTCAATGTTTGGCAGAGCTCTGCTAGAGCCTGAAGAGATGAGTCTGAGCTCATAGGAAAGGGGGTGGAAATGATTGCAAGGCCTCCTCTGTACAGGGTCTTGTGCTGAGTACTAGGGGCAAAACCAGACCAGCAGGGGCCCGACTCACTGAGTCCATGGTTTACCAGAGTCAAAAGTAAGCACACAAGTGGATGTGTAGGGATGGGCAGTGGGGCTAGTTTACTAAGTACCCACTCTGTGCCAGACACTGAGGCTCCCCTCCACCACCGTGTGTGTGCGTGTGTGCGTGTATGTGTGGGGGTGGTCTGTGTCTGTGTCAGTGTCTCTGTGTTTAACTCATTTAGTTTTCAATCTTGTCAAGCTGGCCTTTCCTTCATGCGAGGCTAGGTCAGAGATGTGTATAGTATCTCTTGTGACAAGAATTTGACGAAGTGCCAGATGAGCCCTGGTCTCTGACATAAAAAGACTGTCCAGTCCCTGCCTCTGCTCAGCTTCACAGCTTAGTTGAGGCACTAGATGCATCTGTGGAGTGGAGATGGTGTCAGGGAAGGCACAAAGGGAGGTGGAGCGCTTCAACTGGAGATAATCACATCCCTCCTACAGTACACGTGAACCCGCTGTTTAATCCCGAGCCAGGAGGGGACAATTGCCCCTATTTGAAGGATCGTGGTGGTCTTATGGGAGAAGTGGCATTTGAGTCAGACCTTGTGTCACCCTTGGAGTTTGGACAGTTGGACAAAAGGGACAATATACAGCACAGCCTCTGAGCCAAAGAGAAGGTGTCTGTGCGGAGGGCTAGGGTGGCCACTTGGATTAGAAAGGATTTTCAGGAGAGTGAACTAACAGGACACTGAGCCAGAGAAATGACATTCAACTCCAGTCCTTCTAGTCTCTGCCAGTATGGATGCAGAGTCCATTGTCTATGACCATAGCCTCCAGAACTGTCCATTCTGATTAGCTGCTTCTGAAGTTTATCTAGTCCCCATTTCTACTTCCTGGACTGTAAAAGGTTACAGGCATTCCTTCCTACCCGCACTTCTTCCTCCAATACCCCTACTTAGCAGTACACCTATCAAAGACCTACCACTTCCAGGCTCTCTGTCCTCATGTCATAGTGGATTTACTAAGAGCCTACCATGTGCCAGGGATTACTGTAGGCTCTAGAGGTGCAGTATGAGTAAAACCATGCTCCTGTAGAGCTTCACATTATAACACTGCAAACAGACAGGGGCTGCACACACAGCTTACAAGTTAGAACATAGAGACTGTACCTAGGAGCAAGGCATCAGAAAAAAAGCCATCAGACTGGGAACTGGGTGGACAGAAAGGCAGCCTCCAACACTGATTTAATAATCCAGAGACCTAGGACAACACAACACACAAAACTGAACAAAGGAGTCAATCTGAATTCCTGACATAGAGAGAGGCTGGTTGTCCTGGGCCTTTGTGGGCCATGGTGGGGAACTTAATATTAAGTGTAGCAGGAATCTTAAAAGTTCTTATTAATAAAATCAAACCTGGTGCCAGGTATTGGAGTGAAGCTGAAAGATCAGAGAGACAGAACAAGCCACAGCTACCTCACCTTGCCAATTCCTCAGCTGTTCCTGTTTCCTCAGACTGGAAGCCTCTGAGTCCCCATCCCAATGGATCTCAGCTGAACTGCTGCTCAAAAGCCTGAATGCTTAACCAGGCCAAATTTGCCTCTAGTTTCTGGTCCTCGCGCCTTATATATCTTTCTGCTTTCTGCCTCACTCCCTGGGATTAAAGGCTCACTCCCTGGGATTAAAGGAGTGAGTGCCAACATTTTCTAGCCTAAGTATCTAGTGGCTTTTCTGTTCTCTGACCTCAGATAAGTTTATTAGGGTACACAATATTTTGGGGAACACAATATCACCATAATTAAGTGTAAGGGGTGGGAAGCAAGGAGGAACAATGTCATGTGGAAGTTATCGTTGGCAGCCATTGAGTCGTCGAATTCTTGTTTGAGACAAGGTCTCAAGCAGCCCAGGTTGGTCTGCAACTTGCTATCCAGATGAGGCTGGCTTTCAGCGTCTGATCCTCCCAAGCATGAGTGTTAGGATTAGGGACATAAGCCTTTGCCAAACAGTCTTCCCTCTTGAAAAGAAGGAGGTTTCATGGACTTTGCAAAGATGGCCTGAGAGCCAGTGGATGCAATGGCCTTCTCAGCCTGTTTCTCTTTTCTGTCACTGAACAGCAGAGCAGAATGAGACAGCAAACACCTCAGCCTGTCCTCAAGGGAAAGTAGAGCAATTACATTTTCCAGATCTGAGAAAAGAGCAAATGTTTTTACTTATTCATATCTTGACAATTCACACCTGTAGTAGAGAAACTTCGGCATGTGCTTTGGAGACTTTCAGTTCATTCTTTGTTAAACTCCTTTCTTTTTTAGCAAACATTTGGAGAGCACCTACCAGGTTTTGGGCATAAGGGGAAAAATAAGAGCCAGGCCTGATGTTGTATAAAGCACACTTAGGTTATACTGTCAGAAAGATAAAAATGCTGTCTGTCCTTCACGCCACAAGTTTCTTCATCTGCAGCTCATTCACTTATAGTCATGAAATTAAAAGATGCAGAGCCAGGGATGGAGCTCAATCTGTACCAACATGCTGTGTGTTCTTTTATCTGTGCCATTCTGCTCTCTGTCCTTTCTGTGGTCAGCTTTGTGGAAAGCTCATGCTTAAATCTTTGGAGACTGCAGAGAGTCTATCTTTCATTGGCAGCTGCTAGCTGCCAGCAGCTCGGGGTTGATATTCTTATTCTGGGTAACTCTGTCATAAGGACTTCTACCAGCAAACTCACAGTGACATTCCCTCCATTAGCCAAAATCTAGGATATGTCAACTAAACATAGAGTTGCAACCAGATCATTACAAAGGATTTAGCAAATAAAGAGCTTCAAACCCAGTTGTCCATGTGGCCAGGATAATAAGTTGCATCCTGAATTCATCACTTACTTAATTGAAACACATAGCAGCAAATAGCTCCACGATTTTAGTGAAGGCCAGCATGTGAAACTATAGGCTTTTGAAGTTGTCCTCGCAGACAAGTTAATTATTTGGCCGTATTTACCCATTTTCTCTGTTCTTTGGTAATCAAGACACAATGGGTGATTTAAAAAAACTGTCATTTTAAAAGCTAGTTAAGAAAAAAATAGCCCCCCTAGAAACAGCAACCATTTCCCCAGCTTCCTTTCACTGTTTAAATCTCACATAATTTGTGTTGATTGCATTAAAATAAAAATTTGAACGATCACTGTATCAAGCAATCAGGAGTTCACTCTGTGTTGTATTTTAATTTCTTGGTTGGAATGCCCTTGCTCAGATACTAGGTCCCCGGAAGGAGTTCTTTTCATTTTTCCCATAGCTTTCCCCATTTCCCTTTGTTCTCATGGCCCTCTCCATCTCAGGCTCCAGAGATAAGTTTGTTGGCTAGCCCAAAATGTGCATATTCTAGTAATTGTCATCCCCTTCTCCAGCAGTCCGAACAGACCCTTTCTTCTGTGCAGGAAGTTGAGTCTCCTGCCATTCTGCAGAGACACTGACAGCCTAGAAGGTGTGCTTCAATCATACCTAATCACTAAAGTCTAGTTAATTCTTACCCTCTGATTCCACCTTGTGACATTCATGCCTCATAGTGCTTAGAGTCTGGGTTTAAGTGTAGCATGAAGAACAAATATACGGTAGCTTTTTTTTTTTTTAGTGCCACTATGTGCTGATAGATGCATAGTTAAGAATATTTGCCTTTTATTTTCCTTGGAGTTCTAGACAGATCTCTTTTCTTAACTGCCTAGGTCCCGCCATTGACTTGGAAAAAGTAAAGTCAGAATGTCTCGAGCCCGAGCCGGAGTTACGGAGCACTTTCAGTGAGGAAGCAAATACGTCGTCCTATTACCCCGCTCCTGCACCTGTCATGGACAAGTATATCCTAGACAATGGCAAGGTAGTGTTTTCAGCTCGATATCCATCCCCCCAGGTGTTTGCTAGTCAGAGGAAAGGTGGAGAGTATGGCGGGGGCCTTCTGAAGCCCAGTGTGGCTAGCTAGCCTCCCAGCCTAGCCCTGGGTGACTGTGGAATTTATGGCATGGTAGCATAGGTTTGCTGGGACTTCCCCTTCTTCCTCTTTAAAAAACCATTGTGTCAAAATAACTATGAAACTAACCTAACATTTTAGAACAGCTTAGTAATGAGAAAAAAAAATTAAAAAGGAGTTCCTTTAATAGTTGGATGAAATTCTTCCTATCTTCCTATGAAACCGGATGCCCAGAGAATATAAGGTTAACTCAAAGTGAATTACCCATTTGTAGGTAGCAATTCAGTGTATATTCATTCAATATTAACAGAATAGATGTTCTCAGTCCCCCAACTATATCCTGGGGACACAGGGATAAATGAGCCATACCCCTTGTCCCCAAGTCACTGGCCCACAACTCTAGGGCTACACCTAACTCCTCATGTTTCTCTCATGGCTCCTGAAAACAAGTCATGAAAGAACATATAAGCCTTGGTGGTAAGGAAGAGTCTGTCAGAGCCCTTTGTCGAGGCCCTGGTAAAACCAGCTTTAGTGTTACCCTCTGCCGCTATCACACACATTTCACACTCACCTCTCCTTGGCTCCCAGGAGTCATCTGTGCCAGCTTGTTTATCTTGCCTCTTACTTCGAGTGGTCTCTGTTTATCTGATATCATTCCCTAGTGCAAAGGAAAGGTTGTACAAGTTGATTTGTCTAGATGCATCCCCACAACTGTGTGGCATGAACATGTTGTCAAGCTGAGGAAAAGAAACGTGTTTATCTTCAGGGCTCTCTTGGGTGTGCTGCCATGCCTGGCATCTCTCACAGAGCACTTCCTCCTCTGCAGGGAGAGGACTTGATGGCCTAGGGCCTAGGTCTTGTCTTTGCTTCACTCCTCAGACTTTCACAGTAAGCTTGGCAGGAATAAGGTTGGAAGCCCAAGCCTTAGGTCACAGCATAACTCTACTTCCGTACTGTGTGACATCAGGCAGGTCCTTGGCCTTTCTGGGCCTCCGTGTCCTTGTCTGTAAAAAGCATGTCATATTGATGCTTTCCATGGGCCATTTTGGACTGTAAGTGTGTATCTAAGTTTGGTAAACCACCCAAGGTGAAGCTAGAATGGGCGAACCGTTCTGGGACTCTTGATTTCCTTTTAGTCATGATCATATTGTGGAGTGATTGAAGAATTTTTCTTAAGAAACTTCCAAGAAACATCTATTTCTCTTTTGCTTTGAGGGCTGCCAGGCAGCTTCTGAGCCCCGCTGCAAAAGTAACATTCTCTCCCAAGAAAATAGGTCTCTAAACCTCTTTTAATTTTTAACACACACATTAAACACTTCCGGAAAATGTCTCTTTTTCTTTTTCCCAGCCACTGCTCTTAAACCAAACCCAACTTTTCTTTGAGGCTAATTTGTAGTCAGGCAGAGGACTCTTGGAACAGGAAGGAAGGGAAGCAGACACTAGGAATGGATGACAGCTCCTCACAGCAGTAGGTGTCACATCCCAAATGATGGCCTTGTTCCTGTTGTCTTGCCTGGGCCTTCCTTCTATGCAAGCTGAAGACTGGAGCTCTGCAAGGCCTGGATCACTGGAATCTGATCCATTTGCCACCAGAAATGAGTTTTGTCCTATATCATACATCACAAAGTAATTCTTGAAGTCCAATCCTACCAGATGCCATATTTTTCATAACCTTCCCTGATAAGGAAAGCTAACGTTTTTGTTTTTGTTTTTTTATCAAATGTTACCATAGTTTACCTGAATGGGGTTTGCCACACAGATCAGTTTCTGATTTTGATAAGTCCGTTGCTTATCTAAGATGTTTTTATTTATATTAAAAAAAACACCCCATTGAATTATAAAACTGCAAAGACCATTAAACAGTATGACTTATATTTGCACATTAAGTAACAGATCTTGAAAATGCGCCCAGAGCAGGGCCTAATCTAAGCTGTGTGACAGGTTAAGGGCAGGTGGGAACTGAAAGCCAGGTCTCCTAGTTCCTAGGCCAGTGCTTTCTGCAGTCTGTCTTGCTGTGTCCCTGGGAACTGCACACTGCTCTAGGTAGCCATGAGTGTGCTGATCTCAGCAGCCCCGGTCTCAGTTGCTCAACATGGACCTATGATGGGTCTTCCTGAGGCCAGGGGACCATTTCTTTCTGTGCTATGGCACTGGCATTGTACTTAGGTGGATGCCAAAAATATTTTGTTCTCTGAGGAAGAGCTGCTCATCAGAGATAAAGCCAAAGCATGAAAATATATTAAATATGCTCATGTGTTGAGTATGCTTTGAGTTTAAACTGGTCTTGGTCACTCTGCAAGAAGCAGAAGGGGAGAGCCTTGACCTCTCTCCACTGGAATGTGCTGTGACAGGTGGGACTGAGTCAGATAGTGATGGCTGTAGATGAGCTGGTTCTTCATAAGGAGTGTAACCTAACCCTGTTGCAGTTAAATAACATTTCCTGGATTGTGGACTGAGTATGGAAACCTGAGTAGCTTAAAATGACAGGAATCTGTCATCTTAAGGACATCCCTTCTTTTCCAGACCAGAGGAATGTGAAAGCAGAGATGCCAATGGGAAGAGAAGGGGCAAGGATGTAGCAGCCACCAGCTGTATGTTCTCCTTATGTATAGTTCATCTCATTTGGTACTTGATTACCCCTCCAAGAGCTAGAAGATGATCTGTGTGGTTGAGAAAAGTGAGGCTTAGGGAAGTATGATGACTAGCCCTGACCCATGGTAATCAGCTGACACACAGAAGAGACAGGGTCCACACCAGGGCTGGCAGCTCAGAGCCCATCCCCCTCCTGTTCTAGCACTGGAAGAAGGAGGTGGATGTGTTCAGAGACTTTCTAGAGGGATGGACTTACCGGGTTAGTGATAGAATGGAGCCAGGCTGAGGAGGTCAGATCTGCTGTGATAAGAAATAAGGAACCATTCCAAATTCCAAAGGGTTGACATAAAAACATAGAACTGAAGACTGCTGGGGCCATCTAGTTAAAAGAGGAAAGCAGTGTTTTAGGGAAGTGGATGTCAGTGATTATAGGGTGAGCTGAAGGGGGCAGCCACTGGCAAGAAAGCCAGTGAGCGGGCTTCTTTCCGGTCTCTGTCTGTCTGTGGAATACTATACTGGGATCTGGGACAGGATGTGGCCTACAGGTGCAGAAGACTCAAAGAGAAACCTATAATAAGCAGGGCTTGCTGCATTAGGTGTGCACTTTCCAACCACATTACCTTTACCTTGGCACTCAGGCTATGGCAGGGCAGGCCAGAAGGGCATGAACTGGACTACACAGATTTGGGACTGAATTTTGATTTTTAAATTGGCTGATTGTATGTCTTGGGGAAAGTAATTTAGTCCCCTCCTCTTCCCCCGAATTTGTGTTTCCATGTGTAAAATGAGAACAAAAATTTCTGCCTACTTCTAACTCTTAAGGTCCTTATGAGGATTAAGGAAGTTGAGTTCATTATAGGTACTCAATAACATGGCTCCTTTTTCTTCTAGAACACTGGCTTACATGACTTCATCTTTCTCCCAGAGTAACAAATTATGCCAGGTGCTGTAGTGTGGGCTTATGATCCCAGTAGTCAAAAGACTGATGCAGGAGAGTTGCTGCATATGTCTTTGCTTTTCTCTTTCAGAATCTAGTTTAGAGCAAAGTCCCTTGTCTCCCTCCCACCTCAGGAAGCTTGTGTGGGTGGCTTCAGAGTGTCATCAAGGGAGGGACACAGCTCCATCAGGGACCTTGCCTCAGCACGCATGCCCACCTGGCACAGACTGCCCACCTGCAGTTCAGATGTGAACAGGGGAAAAGGCCAAATTTGGCCTTAGGCTCTGCTTGCTAAGCCAGCCCCAGGCAGCACATCTCACCCCAGGGCTGCTTGTCTGTCTGAGCAGAACAAACTGATTTGCAGTACAGAAATGCTCAGCACAGGAAGGCCAGGTGGATCTGGTTATCTGTCCTCATACAGTGGGCCAAATGATCTTTTGAGCAAAAGGAGGCGACGCTAGATGTGGCCTAGAAGATCATTCTTGAGTAGAAGAATGATCTTTAATCATTTCTTGAGCAATTGTTCTTACATTCTGCCATCAATCTGTATGTGTGTATGCCATCTCAGGCCAAGATCTCTCCTAGATGTCACCTGACCATGCCTCGGTGATGATCTGCGGGTCTTTATGAAAACAAAGGCCTTTGGCAGAGCCTTCTCACACCCCTTGGACAGATCAGCTGATTAGCAGGCCCCTCCCATCCATCCCTCAGAGGCTGTTTCTTTCTTCCACAAGCTCAACAGAAACTCAGCCTAAATGGCTATGTCAAGGTCAAAACTTTTTTATTTTTAATGATGAACATTAGTATTGGTTTGCAAGTCATTACAGGCCACAACTGGGGACAAATTTTAAAGCTATAGCTCATTGCTGGAAGCAGAGAGGGTCCAGTGATTTCTTGGCTCTCACTTATCACTCTGGATGTTTCTCTTCTCAGGAGCACAAGATTGTGTTCTGGTGTGTGTGCTACCAAAATCAAACCGGATACATTGTGGTTGCATTTAATTTCTTAAAATCCTCAGTGTTCTGAGCCAGAGAGATGAACTTTGAGATGAAATCCAAGTCTCCCACTTGGAAGATAGGGAAGCTGCAGTCTGAGCTGGAGAAGGACTCGCACAGCTCCACTCCCGCTGGCTGCAGAGCCAGGCAACTGCTCTGCTCCTGCCAGCTGGCAGGGGTTTAGAACTTAGCTCTAAATTGGAATTATCTAGGGAGCTAAACCATCCTGGTGTCTAGGCCACACCCAGACTAAATAATTCAGAGTCTTGGAGAGGAGGCCTAGGCACCAGTGATTGCTACAGCTGGGTGAGTCCTGATTGCTACAGCTGGGTGAGTCCTGCATGCAGCCTCCCCCATGTTAGCAAGAGGTGTGCCTCAGAATGTGCAGGTAGAAGAGGGTCTGATATTTCGAGAGAGCATAACACACATGAGCACATAATGTCCTGAGCATGGGTCAGGCCCCGAGCACCTGTGTAATAACATGAGTACAGTTTAGAATCCCAGATCTGCCACTCACAAGTTGAGTGACTTCTAAAGTCACTTCACATTACTGAATGGGATTTTCCCATTAGAAGTGACAGCTGTATCATAGCACCTTCTGTGTAAGAGAGTGAAGTCAGAGCTTTAGAATAAGGCCTGATGCATTGCAAGAATTGTGGAAGTGATGCTGTCATGGCATCTGCAGCATCATCCCTTAGAGTGGAGAAGCAGTGTTTTAAAGGACAAAAGCGGCCTCCAGCTGCCTTCCTGTCGGACTAAACAGGTGTGCTGTTATCTTTTCCAGGTTCATCTGGGAAGTGGGATTTGGGTTGATGAGGAGAAATGGCACCAGCTACAAGTAACTCAAGGAGACTCTAAGTACACGAAGAACTTGGCAGTCATGATCTGGGGAACAGATGTTCTGAAAAACAGAAGTGTCACGGGAGTCGCCACAAAAAAAAAGAAGGATGCAATCCCGAAGCCACCCCTCTCTCCTCACAAGCTCAGCATCGTCAGAGGTAGCACACCCAGTGGAAGCACAGTGCTGGACATCCTGTCCTTTACTCTGTCAGAAACGTATTGTGCAGGTTTCAATTCGGTGAATGCTTACTGAAGCCCCTGTATGCCAGGCACCGTGTGGGACACAAGAGCATAGAGGCAGACATCATAGCTGTCACCAGAGATCTCACACTGGACATGACAAATGAATGTGGACACAAATACAACTCAAGGGTGTAGCATGTCATGCAAGAGGGACAGTGGTTGTGCTGGGAATTGTCAGGAGGGGAGGATGCCTCTCTGGCAAAGCCGGGAAGAATCTCAGGGAGAAGGCTGCTGAAGAGGGCCTTCAGTGCTCCTCAGACAGGGACGGGGTGAGTGTGGAGAGGTGCTTCTGGAGGCAGAAGCATCTTGAACAGAGGAGTGAGTGCAGATGGGCAAGGGATGTGTCTAGAGAGCAGTCGAGGTGCAGGCTGGGGAAATTTCTTATTTTAGCCATGTCTAGGACCATCAGTGAGATGAGCAGCAGTTGGTACAGCTTCCTTCTTGGTGTTGGGGATGGTGTCCAGAGAATCAGGGAGTCGTTTGTCACCCAAAGATATGGATGTACCCCATACTCCTTTTCCATCTTCCCTCTCTCCCTCCTTCCTTTCCTTCTTTCCCCCATTTTCTTTCCTTTCTCCCCTTCCTTACCTTCTCACTCTCTTCTTTCTCTCCCCCATCCATTCCCTAAGCTCTTACTCTTTTCTAGACCCTCGCCTGGGTTTTGAGAACACAAAGGACAAAACACAGAGTGCATCTACAAGGAGCTCAGTCTCATGGGGAAACTAAATATAAGAACAACAGTACTGTACAATCAGTACAAAGTAAGAAGTATGGTACAAGGAGCAGAGTGAATATAGTAACTGCTAATTATTCTGAGTACTTGTTATATACTATTAAAACATTATCTGTCTTAAACAGTTATTATATATATATATATATATATATATATATATATATATATAATAACTCATCATCCTATCAACAACCTGCTGTTGGCTGCTGTTACTATCCTTTTCACAGTAAAGGTAACTGGGTCACGGAGGTAGCAGGTACTTTTTCCCGAGTTATAATAGCCACGAGAGAGAGGTAAATCCAGGAGGCCAAGGGTGGCTTTGGAGTCTGTCCCTCACCATTGTTCTCTAAATGGCCAGGTCTGCCACATTCTGGTGAAGAAAGTGAGACTCAGTGAGGTGAATGCCTTGTTTGAGCAGGTCCTGTAGTTGAGCACATTCTGGGTCCAAATGACAAACGTAATCTATGATGCAGTCAGGCGACTTTGGGTCCTCTGAGTTTCATCCACAATGTGATGGAACAAAGGGCTGCATCAGCTCTGTCGAGGGGAGGCCTGTTGGAACAGATGACGTTCCAGCTGAGAGTTCCACTGGACAAGGCAGCCTGTGACAGGTGGAGGAACTGTGGGTCAGGTAAAATATATTGCAGCGCGGAGACCAGCAACCTCAAGTGAAGTGGCTGAAGGGGACAAGCGGCTTTACAGTGGAGAGTGAGGTCAGGGAGGTGCGAAAGAGCCAGTCTTACAAGGAAGTGAAAGCCAAGAGTAGGCAGCTTGGGTGTGCAGAGGCCATCAGTTGTAGGGGCGGCCCCTGGGGAGCTGAAGCACAGCCAGCACTGCCACAGAGTAGGCAGGAAAATGTGCAGTAGAGAATGGACAGTTCCGTTGTGTGTTCGAGAGGTCAAGGAGGCAAGACACTGAGTGATTAGGCAGCTAAGCTAAGGTCACAGCCATAAGGTGTCTGAGTCCAGATTCAAACCCGCACTTTCTCTGGTCTGCAGCCTTGCCGATGTAACGCAGGTGTCTCCCCTCCTGGCTAGCCCTTGATTAATTGAAGAAGGCAGCCACTTATTTTTAGATAATAAGAGGTAACCTTTAGTCAGCTGCTGTCTGAAATGGTGCAGCTTTATTCAGGAGGTCACCCTGAGAAAGGCCTTCTCGAGAAGGCAGCCCTGCTTCACGCGGTAGGTGCCAACCTCCAATTCTGTTACACTTTTCAGCATGTGACTCAGCAGGTCCCAGGTACCCTCAGATAACTGTCATGTTTGGGCATGAAATTAAGTGCCAAGAGTGCCTCCATTACAAGAAACTGTAGCTGACGTCCCCCGTGCTCACTGCCCAGGGTAGTTCCAGCACTGAACAAGGTTGAACACACGAAGCCCCAAGCGAGACCTTGGAACTGACCCTGCCCCACACGAGATATGACTTTTCACTTTCTCTCTTATTCTTGTTTCTCTTCAGATAACATAAATCTTTAGCCTTTTACTAGTCATTTCCCCTCTTCTTTTGCTTCCTTGGCTGAAAACCTATGTGCTTTATTTTCATTTTTGTTTTTTAAGACAAGGTCTCTTACTCCATAGACCAGGCTGGCCACAAGCTCCTAGTCATCCTCCTGCCTCCACTGCTCTCTGCTACACTGCCCCTGTTAAAGGCTCTACCCAGCATTTCTTGCTTATTTGACGATTATCTTTCTCCCTTGTCTCCATCAGAAGCTCAACTTTATTTATGAGCATCTTGTTCGGGGCTTACATAAAGTAAGCATTTAAGAGTATTGACCTTTACCATGCAGCCTTCGGCCCTCTGTGTTCCCTCTTAATGAATAGCATAACCAGACAGGTGCATCCCTCTCCCCCTCCCACATTCCTGCCTCTCTATCCTTCCTGTTTCTAAACAACTCTCAAACCCTCTCTGTCTGTCCAGACCAACTACTCTCAGAATTCAGACCTGAGCATGTGCTTTTTTTTCCCAAAGCCTCCAGACCCTTCTCCTCATTATGTAACCAGGTTGACCTCTCAGAAAACAGATATGACCTCTTACTACCACCCACCCCAGCCAGTTCAGAGTTCCCAAGATTAGAGAGTAAACTTAGCATGACATACGGACACGTTCACAGTCTGGCCGCTGGCTATAGTTCTGGCTGTAGCTTTTAGTTGTTAGCAGAATGAACTGAACAAGCCTCATTCCCTCTCGCCTCAGGGGATTTGCAAGTGTTATTCCTCATGCCTAGAATAGTCACAGCCCCTCTACCTGTCCTGTTGTGCCAGTTACTGCTGATCACAGCAGATTTGCTTGGCATCTTATCCCTCCAAGAGACTCTCCATGACCTCTTAGTGTTTCTACCATGTGTTCCAGAGCACCCAGTTTCTGGCTCAGTTCTTTTTTCTTGGAGGTTTCCTAGGACCCTCAGCTATGGCAGAGTGAGCCAAGCCAGACCTGGGTTTCAGGCTTCAAATGCCAGCAGGAGTCTCTTGCCGTACTGAAATATGAGGTTGATGTTTTACTTTTTCACTACAGCCAGGCAGGTTGGAGGTCTCCTGCCATCCCACCACACAGCCACCATTTTTAGCCTGATTATCCGAATGATTCCAGCTTTCTTTTAGCTGGTTCCTCCTGGGCAAGCTGTCTAGCAGGATTGGGTCTGTTTGTATTTATGTTGTGTGTGATGTGAGCATACGTTGTCTTGTTGGGCATATAAAAGTGGCAGAAACCTTCACACTCACAGCATTGGGAGGTTTTTCTCGTCTCTTTGATGTTCAAATCGTCCCCCCCCCCCCGCCCCCCAGGTAGCAGGCCTGTGGGAGAATGCTGACCCTGCTTTAGGAAGATGAAAGCTGGAGGACAGAGCCGGGCCTGGCTCCGATGACAAGCTCCAAAACGACAGTTAAACCTTATTAAGGTCCAATGACCTTTTGCAGAGTATCTCAGCTTTCTAAATGAGCCGCAGCATTGCGTTCTGGTTAATTTTTATAACTTTTTTAATAGGACACATTAGCGCTGTTATAAACCTTGTTAATTAAGCAATAATCTCAAATGCTCCCTCGCAGAGGGACACATTCCCAGCATCTGCAGGTGATTAATAACTAGAATCTAACAAAAGCCTTTTAATCAACCTGAGGGGCCATTCAGAGCTGTTACCCCAGGAAATGAAGATGATTGGAATTCCATACGGGCCTCCCTGAACACATTCTTCAACGCTTGCCCTTCTCTTTCCACTTCCTCTCTGGGGGCCATCACGCCTACCCTCCTGTCTTTTGCTTCTCTCTCCTGCCTTTATTGTCTTGACGACCACTGGAGAGACAAAACTCCCTGGATTATCTAGTTTGGCACATCACTGGATAGCAACACTTACCCGGGTTCATTTCAGAGGCATCTAGGATGAGAGCCATATTTGAGCTTGAACATCTTTTGACAGACTTCTCCCTGATTTAGATTAGGTCAAAGCAAGGTTGCTCAACTGATCACATGGTCCTGACTTAGGGAAGTGGGGGCTGATTGGATTTTATCAGATCACGAGCTGTACTTCCATAGGAAGCTCCATAGGAGCAGAGTGCTAGGCAGACTTCAGTCTCTTCACTCAGCTGGGTAGTGCCAAGCAGAAGAGAATGAGCAGGACTTAAGATGGTGAAAACCGAAGCCAGGATCTTCTGGGAACTGATGATAAGGACACTTGCTTTGTGGGGTGCTTTGTAAAGGGAAGGGATTGTAGGTAGACAGAGCAGAAGATCCGGCTGCCCATCTTCTTCTCTCAGTCCTTACAGATGAGTAGAGATAGACAAACTGGGCATTAGGGGTGGTCAGGAGGCAATGGAGGCCAGCTAAGGCACCTTTGAGTAAAACTCTTCTCAGAGGAGAGGAAATGGTGGGCCAGAAAAAGCACATTTGTGGCACACATACCCACAGTATGGATGGCAAGAGGAGGAAGGCCCTACCCATACTTGGAAAGTCAGCCATGGGTTCTGACCTGAACTGCCTCTTCACTCTAGTCCCCAGGCTACTCCCATGTGAATGGAAGGCTTAGCACAAGTTAGTCTTACAAGCTACTGGCCTGAATCACCTCTGTGTGCTGCCTCCAGAAAGGCAAACTGAGGTTATCCATCACAATTCCTTATGGTTGGATTGTCACTCTGTTTTCTATGTGAGGAAACTAAAGATAAAAGAACTTGCAGTTTTGCCCATGATTATACA